TTAATAGATCAGATGACCTATTTCTGAGCTATATTTATAACTCAAAGATGATTTAGATATTAAGAGGAAAAGGAACAGAAATACACGTAGATAGGGTTAGATAAAAGGGGAATGGAAGGAAACTTGTGTGAAATATAAACAATGACATGGAATGGCATAGGATTAAATGTTCCGGTTTGGGGTGCACATGTAAGAAAGAACATAAGAAATGAAGAGCAGCAGATCATTCAATCCTTTGAATCTTCTTCACCATTGATTAGTAACAGTTAATCTGATTGTGATATTAACTCCACACTTCCATCTGCTCCCATAACCCTTGAGCTCCTTGTCAATCAAACATCTATCAACTTCAGCCTTGAATATAGTCAATAACCCAGTTCACTGGGGAAGATAATTATAAACACGAATAATGATAAAATAACTTCCTCCTCATCCACATCAGAGTTAATGCTGTTGGCTAGGGTTAATTGATTATGTTTACTCAGTTTTTAATTAAACAGGGAAACAGGTAGTATTGCGAGATTTAATAGTCAATAAACAGGGCTGTCTTGTGGTGCGGTCGTAGTGCCCCTATCCTTGGACAGGAGGCCCAGGTTCAAGTCCCATCTGCTCCAGTGGTGTGTGGGTTGTACAGCCATAGAGACAGATGTACAGCAGGGAAACAACTTGTCCATCCCGACCAGATATCCTAAATAAATCTAGCTCTATTTGCCAGCATTTGCCCCATATCCCTCTAAACCCTTCCAGCTCAGATACCCATCCAGATGCCTTTTTTAAATGTTGCTAATATACCAGCCTCCACCACTTCCTCTGGCAGCTCATTCCATACATGCACCACCCTCTGCATGAAAAAGCTGCCCCTTAGATCTCTTTTAAATCTTTCCCCTCTCACCTTAAATCCATGACCTCTAGTTTTTAACCCACCCACCCAGGGGGAAAAGACCTTGGCTATTCACCCTATCCAGGTCCCTCATTATTTTATCAACCTCTATTAGGTCACTCTTTAGCCTCCGACGCTCCAGGGACAATAGCCCCAGTCTATTCAGCCTCTCCCAATAGCTCAAACCCTCCAACCCTGGCAATATCCTTGTAAACCTTTTCTGAATCCTTTCACATTTCACAACTTCCCTTCCTATAGCAGGGAGACCAGAACTACACAAGGTATTCCAATAGTGACCTAACCTTTGTCTTGTACAGCACAACATGACCTCCCAACTACTATACTCAATGCACTGTCCAATAAAGGCAAGCATACCAAACGCCTACTTCACTATCCTACCTACCTGTGACTCCACTTTCAAGAAACTGTAAGCCTGCATTCTAAGGCCTCTTTGTTCAGCAAAACTCCCCAGGATCTTATCATTAAGTGTATAAGTCCTGCCCTGGATTTGCCTTTCCAAAATGCAGCACCTCTCATTTATCTAAATTAAACTCCATCTGCCACTCCTCAGCCCACTGGCCCATCTGCTCAAGATCCTGTTGTACTCTGCGGTAACCTTCTTTGCTGCCCACTATACCTCCAATTTTGGCATCATCTGCAAACTTACACCATACTTCCTATGTGCACATCCAAATCATTTATATAAAATGAAAAAACACAGTGGACCCAGCACTGATCCTTGTGGCACACTGCTGGTCACAGGCCTCCAGTCTGAAAAGTAACCCTCCACCACCACCCTCTGTCTTCTACCTTCGAGCCAGTTCTCCATCTATTCCATGTGATCTAACCTTGCTAACCAGTCTACCATGAGGAACCTTGTTGAATATCTTACTGAAAGTCCTTAAAGATTACAGACACTGCTCTGCCCTCATCAATCCTCTTTGTTACTTCTTCAAAAAATTCAATCAAGTTTGTGAGACAATTTCCCACACACAAAGCCATGTTGATTATCCCTAATCAATCCTTGCCTTTCCAAATACATATAAATCCTGTCCCTCAGGATTCCATCCAACAACGTGCCCACTACTGATGTCAGGCTCACCGGTCTATAGTTCCGTGGCTTTTCCTTACCACCTTTCTTAACTAGTGGCACCACGTTAGCCAAACTTCAGTCTTCCAGCTGTATGCATTTTAAGACATCCAGCGCCTCCTTCTCTATAATATGGACATTTTTCAAGATGTCACAATTTACTTCCTCACGTTCTCTATCTTCCATATCCTTCTCCACAGAAAACATTGATGCAAAATACTCGTTTAGCATCTCCCCCATCTCCTGCGTTCCATACACGGGTGGCCTTGCTACTCTTTAAGGGGCCCTATTCTCTCCCTAGTTACCCTTTTGTCTTTAAATGTATTTGTAGAATCCCTTTGGATTCTCTTTATCCCTATTTGCGAAAGCTCTCTCATGTCCCCCTTTTACCTCCTGATTTCCCTCTTAGGTATGCTCCTACTACTTTTAAACTCTTCGGGAATCACTCGATTTCTGCTGTCTATACTTGACAGATGCGTCCTCCGTATTCTTGACCAAAATCTCAATTTTTCTAGTCATCCAGCATTCCCTACACCTACCAGCCACACTGTCTCTCGACTCTTGTTATCTCATTTTTATTGGCTTCCCATTTTCCAGCCGTCCTTTTACCTGCGTACGTCCACCTCTCAATCAACTTTTGAAAGTTCTTGCCTATTATCATCGAAATTGGCCTTTCTCCAATTTAGAACTTTAACTTTTAGATACAGTCTATCTTTTCCATCACTATTTTAAAACTAATAGAATTATGGTCACTGGCCCCAAAGTGCTCCCCCATTGACACCTCAGTCACATGCCCTTCCTTATTTCTTGATCAGAAAAATAGGTTAATTAAAAATTTATAAACTCAAGATACACTTTCTAGCTCCATTTTGATTTAGCACTCCTTCCCCCTCCCTCCATCTCCTTCATCTTTGATGGTTTGCATTGCCCTTAACTGGCTTTGCATGTAAATTATACGATTGGAAACACGGGTCATTAATTGGTGGTGGTTAATATCAGGACAAAAAAAGCCATAGATGTTTTGGTGATGGGTGTGGATGTCCACTATCTTGAAGAGCTAGGGAAAGATTTCACCAATGATATGAAAATAAAAATAATCAGGGTTAGTTGGACAGGTAGGCCTTGCATTTTGGTTGACTCAACTCCTTGTCTAGGGCTCTTATGATACAGTGATAATAGCCCTACCTCTAGGTAAGGAGGCCCAGGTTCAAGTCCAAGATATTCGAGGAGGCGTGCAATAACATGTTCCGACAGGTCGCTTAGAAAATATCTAAACTCACAATACCTTCCCATTGTAGATATCGTTCTATGTTACCAATAAGTTTAGATCCTAGTTGACAATCAGTGTCTTAAATGGGGAGAACACTTGTTCATAAAACTATGTCAGCTTGCTCTAGATTCGCTCAGGAGAAGTAATATCCTCTCAGCATCTATCTTAAAGATGCCTCCTTAGATTCTTCTATTTCAATAAGATCATCTGATTATTCTAAAGTCTACAGATACAAGCCAAATCTGCTTGACCTGTCGTCATGAGAAAAACCCCTCAGCCCAGGAATCAGCCCACTGAACCTTCTATGAATTTCCAATGCAAGTATGTCTCTCCATAAGTAAGGAACTCAGCACTTAAACGTGTAGTTTCCCTACTTTATACTCCATTCCTGACTGGCTCTTGTGGTGCTGTGGTAGTTGGCCAGAGGCTCTGGGTTCCCACCTGCCCCAGCCATATGTCTGAGCACATTGATTAAAAACATTTACTCCATTCCCCATTCAATAAAGGCCAAGTGTCAATCTGTCTTCTTAATTATTTGCATACTTTCTCTGCTACTTTAATTCTCAGTCTTGTCTGGTCTACCTGGATCATATATTCTCTATAGTACAGAGGGTGACTTTCTTCTACTTATGCTATTTTGTGTCAGACATCGAGAACCAAGAGTCTGCTCCTCTTCTCTATGAAGGAACATTGAGCGGGGGAAAATCAAACAAATCAAACACACTACGACATTATCTGTTTGTACAAAACAGTGAAACACTTCCGTCACTTCCATTACTACAAAGATTACTGCTAAATACTAGTCCTTTGAAAGCAGTAACCCTTTACTGCATGCAGATACACAATACCAATAACATTTGCTTTTCTAATATTTAAGACCAAGTTTGGGAACAAAGTAAAATCAAAACAAAATCATTTCTATAAATAATTCGCTCTGAAGGAAATTTCTGTGTGTTAGCAGAGAAAACAATTACAATATTTAAAAAATGAAGCAAATATAGTTGATATAAAGCAAAACAGTCTCAATTTAACTCCTAGTAGTTTAAAGTATACTCATTATTCAATTCCTTTGACTTCTGAAGAACTATTACTTTAATGTCAATTGCACAGATACTTTTACTCAATTTAATCAGCTAAACAACATGGAGACTTGGTGATACAGTTGGCTAGTATACTGCTATTTTCCCCTGGCTCAAGACTAATTAATGGAATTTGGATACAGTCTCAATCAGTTCTGGGTGGGTTTGTGGGAGCTCATTTGATGGTAATATTGACCTACAGTGTGGAACTATAGACCAAAGACTGCAATATCACTGAGGTCATAACATTAAAGCAAATGCAAGAATTTAGACTGATGGATTAGGATTATTTTTGTAAGGTTATCTAAAGGCACAGTTATGTGGTTGACTATACAGGACTTCATATCTGCGTGTGCAATTCTTGCTCGAAAGTACTTGATGCTGAATTTGTACACCTAAAATAATAAAACAAATTCCTTTGTTTACCACTCTCAAAGTTCAAAGAAAAAGTGCTAACACAACACACACTTAGGCTATGCAGACATGGCCAAAACATCAATTGAAAGGAGACTGCATCTGCGCATTGGTTAAACAATTTTGAAAGATCAGCCATTTGGAAATGACGAAACTGCTTTCGTCTAGTTGTTAAAACTTGAGAACCAGCTACTAAGGTGAGCCTTCACACAATCAGATAAACCAGAGATTCCTGTAATTCACTTCCAGATGAGGAAAGTGACTCACCATGCACAGTATACATCTCCCTGCTGAAGCTGCCGTGTGAGGAAAGCTGTGCACAAGATGAGGGCCAGGCTCTCTTCTCCATCAGACTCCAAGTTACATATCATCTCCAATGCATCTTTGCAGTCAACTGCTGAGATCTTAAATAGAAACACAAATAAGTATTTGTAGATTCCAACTAAAACACTTTCTAGAGCATCTAGACAAAAACTCAACTCAAATCTCTGGAAAGCTACTAACCGGGAATTTGGAAAAATGGTAACTGAAGATCAAACAAGTCAGTTAAAGGTGATCCTAGAAGGCACACAATAAAGTTGGATAGATCTAGGAAGCAAGTGGCAAATGTGTCAGACCACGATGGCTAAAGGCAATGTCATCTTTGGTGGAGTGGATATGAAGACTCCCAAGAGCAGACATGTAACTATAAAAGATTACACGGTTAAGGTGGATTTGACTCGGCCAATAAATCCACGTTTCCTCTGATTCAATGTTTCAGGTGCACTGACCCTTCTTTAGAATTGATTGTAGCTAGGAAAAGTTTGATACATATGCTAGAGAAGTGTGGCAAACGTTAGTTAGAGATGGAGCCCAGAGAGAGAACAGTTAAGCAGATAAAGGAATGTTAAAAGTCACCTGGGAGAATGAAGAGCTGCTAATGGAGATCGTTAGTGGCTGACAATGAGTTGTTTGTGGTAGCAGCCCATGTGATGACGACATCTGGTTTGTGAGGGTTGGGTTAAGGACATGGAAGAAGGTTCTCAGGCCTTAAAATTATTGAATTCAATACGGTATCCAGAACATTGTAGGGTTTCCAAATGAAAAATGAGGTGTCGTCCTGCCAGTTTATACCGAGCTATGCTGAAGCACTGTAGCTAGCCGAGGCAGAGATATCGGTCAGGGAACACAGTGGTGTGTTGAAATGGCAGACAACTGGAAGTTCAGGGATACTTTGGTGGACAGAACATTATACAATGCAGTTGCCCAATCTGCGCTTCGACTTCCCTATGTAGAGAAGACCACATTGTGAGCAGTGAATAAAGTAGACTAGATTGACTGAAGTGCAGGTAAATCGCTGCTTCACCTGGATGGTGTGTGTCTGGGGCCTTGGATAGTGAGGAGGGAGGAAGTAAACGGGCAGGTGTTATAACTTCTGCAATTGCATTGGAAGGTGCTTAGAGGTGCAGAGAGATGCTGGGAGTGGAGGTGGAGTGGACCAAGGTGTCCTGGAGGGAATGGCCCCCATGGAAGGCTGACAAAGGAGGGGGAGGGAAATGTGTGGTGGCAACCTGTTGGAAGTGGCCAAAATGGTGACTAATGATCCTTTGGATGTGGATACTGGTGGGATGATAGGTGAAGACGGTGGTAATCCCCACCCCCATCCTTAGCCACCTCATCTTTACCATGGATGTGCAATCCCTTTACACGTCCATCCACCATCATTCCTAGAAAAAAGGCCTGATCTGCCCCCATCCACCACCACTCTCCTCCACCTGGCTGATTGCATCCTCATTTTTGAACAACTTCTCCTTTAACTCCTAACACTTTCTTCAAGTCAAAGGGGCAGCCATGGATACCAGCATGGACCCCAGTTACGCCTGTCTCTTTGTGGGGTTCATGGAACATTCCTTATTCCAGCCCTACTCCGGCCACCACTCACAACTTTCTCCAGTACATCGAAGATATCATCTGGTACTACTTCTCTTTCTCATGCGGAATTGGAAAAATTAATCAATTTTGCTTCCAATTTCCACCACGCTCTCATCTTCACCCAGCCCACACCTGACTCCCCCCTATCCGTCCTCGACATCTGTCTCCATTTTGGGGAATAGGGTGACTGCCAATATCCATTACAAACCCGACTCCCAGTTACCTCAACTATACAACCTCACATCCTGCTTCCTGTAAAGATATTCGATTTTCCCAGTTCCTCTGTCTCATCTGTTCCAATGATGCCGTCTTCACCAAGGGGTCTCCCAATTGTCCTTCTTCCTCAACTGAGGGTTCCACCCACATTGGTTGATGCGGCCCTCAGCTGAGTCTGGCCCATCTCCTGCACTTCAGCCCTCACCCCTCTCTTCCCTCCTACAACACTTGATAGGGTCCCCCTTATCCTCACCTACCATCCCACCAGCATTCACATCCAAAGGATCATTAGCCACCATTTCTGCCACTTCCAGCAGGATGCCACCATGAGACACACATTCCCCTCCCCTCCCTTGTCAGCTTTCTACAGGGACCATTCCCTCTGGGATACCTTCGTCCTGTCCTCCTCCAATCCCAATCTCTCCCTACACCCCCAGGGCACCTTCCCATGCGACTGCATAAAGTGTAACATGTGTCGGTTTACTTCCTCCCTCCTCACTATCCAAGCCATCAGATATCCCTTCCAGGTACAGCAGCAAGTCAATCTAGTCTACTGTATTAGTCATTTACAATATTGTGGCCTCTACATTGGGAGACGAAGTGTAAACTAGCGACCACATTGTAGAACAGCCACATTCTGTCTGCAAAATTGACTCTGAGCATCTGGTTGCCTGCCATTTCAACACACCACTGTGCTCCCTGGCCAAGATCTCTATCTGGGGCTTGCTACAATGCTTCAGTGAAGCTTGGTGCCAGCTGGAAGAACAACATCTCATTTTTTGTTTGGGAACCCTGCAATCTTCTGGCCTCAATATCAAGTTCAATAGTTTTAGGGCTTGAGCACCTTCTCCGATGTCCTTACTCCAACCTTCACACATTAGGCCTTGTCACATCATGGGCTGCTACCACAAACAACACATTGCTGGTGGCTAACAATCTCCATCAGCAGCTAATCATTCTCCCAGGCTGATATTTATCCACTCCTTTGTCTGCCCAACTGTATTTTCTCTCTCTGGGCTCTATCTTCTTCACCTATCGTTTACTCCTTTTCCCTCCCTCCCAACTCCTTGTCTAGCATGTAAACCAATCTTTTTCTAGTTACAATCAGTACTGAAGGGTCACTGGGCCCGAAACTTTAACTCTGTTTTCTCTTCACAAATGCTGCTTGACCTGCTGAATTTTTCCAGCAATTTCTGATTTTGTTCCTGATTTTCAGCATCTGCATGTCTTTGGCTTTTTTGAACACCTTTGGTTTGATTTCTGCCCTGTTGGGAAACCATGCAAGATCAGTATCAGCCTTTAAATGACCTCAGCAAAATCATAATTTGCTTGTTATAGATTCACACGTGAGGAATGACAATTTACTGACATTACTGAAGAGTTGCTGGCATTTAGCAAATTGTGCCACAGCATGAATCCTCATTAATTTTAAAAAAAGTGTATTATGAATGACTCCAGTATATACACTGTCTCCATTTCAATGGTATCATGCAGTAGTACCTTCTTTTTCTCAACACTATGTTGACTTTATTTCCTTCTTGTTAATAAGTGACACTGCTCAAATTACGGAATTCCACACCTATATTAAGTTTCAGGAAGCTCTATACATTACAGAGGAAGTTCCAATAGGAATATAGTGCCCAGTGACAGGATTTAGACTGGAAAAAGGAGGGAGAAGAAAATCCCTGAAATGACCAGTGACTAAATTCACTGTCCTTGTGGGAGAAGACTTCACAATAACCAATTTTTTGATGTGCTAATGCATCTACATAGAAATATAGAACTTTGGACCAGGAGGTGGCCATTTGAACTTTTGACCTTGCTCCATCACTGCAGGTCATGATTGAAGGGCGGCACGGTGGCACAGTGGTTGGCACTGCTACCTCACAGCGCCAGGGACCTGGGTTCGATTCCACCCTCAGGCGATTGTCTGTGTGGAGTTTGCACGTTCTCCCTGTGTCTGTGTGGGTTTCCTCCGGGTGCTCCGGTTTCCTCCCACAGTCCAAAAATGTGCAGGTGAGGTGGATTGGCCATGCTAAATTTATCCACAGTGTTCGGGGATGTGTAGATTAGGTGGGTTATGGGAGATGGCTGTGTGTGGGCTGCTGTGAGAGTTGGTGTGGACTTGTTGGGCCGAAGGGCCCGTTTCCACACTGTGGGGATTCTATGGAAGTACTTGTGGTTTCATCTTTACTTTCTCGTTTACAACCTTATAACCTTGGACTTCCTATTCTATCAAAGATCTAACTCAGAGTCATAGAGTTATTCAGCACAGAAACAGACCCTTCATCCAACTCGTCTATGCCGACCAGATATCCTAAACTGACCTAGTCTCATGTACCAGCACTTGCACCCCCATCTCCCTTTAAACCCTTCTGATTCATGGACCCATCCAAATGCCTTTTAATTGAAATTATACCTGCCTCCAACACCTCCTCTGGCAGCTTGTTCTATACATGCACCACTCTCTACACCACACTTGAATAAAATGCAGCCTCCAATGCATTCTGGGGAAGACAACTCCATACTAATAATCTTCAGAGAGAGAGAGATGGCCTCTACTTTTAGTCTTCACCATAAGAAGAAATCTCCTCTACGTGTTCCACCCTATTCCCTGCAAGATCTTGTATCTTTCGATAAGATCACCTCCAATATTTCTGAACTCCAGTATGCATAGGTCTAAGTTAAAAGTTATTTTCTTTATCGAAAAAGGAGTCCAAAACTCTACATAATACTCCAGATCTGGTCTCGCTGTACAGCTGCAATAAAACCTCCCTATTTTTATATTCCATTCCCCTTTCAATAAACAGCAGCATTTATCTGCCTTCTGAATCACTTCCTCTACCTGCATAATAACTTTGTAATTCATGTACTACCACGGACTACTGCAATTTTTCTCCATTCAAAAAGTATACTTATGACGATACTATAGCTTTTGGCGATACTATAGCTTTAAGGTGATTATTTTGTCTTTTTTGTTTAAAAGGAAGGTTCTAAAGCAGAGGCGCTGAGATGTCAATTGAAAACTCAAAGTAAACAGCTTGTGAAGCCTTGGGTTATTTTCTTAAAGTTGGAACAATAGAAGCAGCCTGAATGGGTGTAGCCAAGCTCTCTCAGAACCAGGATTTTTAGTTTCTTAGCTTTTTAGTAGCAGTTGTTGCTGGCTCTGTTGCTGCAGTACACCTCTCCCTGTTACACTCTTTCGAGAGTTCTCTTGATGTTTTTCCCCCTGGGCTGCTGGAGATGCATGTGAGATAAACTATTTTATGAATCT